GACTTGACATGAACAGACTTGACTTGGCATGAACAGACTTGACAAGGCATAACAGACTAGACTCACCGACAGCGGGTTACAACTTCAATACACGACAAGACACAATGGGAACATGATGCCTACTTATAGCAAACAAGGAGGGTCACATGACATGAACAAACCAATGGGAAACCAGACACATGACTAAGACGACCAATCAGAACATGACACAATGAACAGAGGAACCAATGGCATGAATACATGAGGGCAAGGGAAGCATGACGCAAACAGGGACCATGATTAAACTCCAAAATAAAAGACATGAAAACATGAACAAGAAACACACCCAAAACACCACATTACACCCATTAGCTCAGTGTTCCCTGTGTGCTCTACTAAATGCTTCACTAGTACCCAGAGTAATAATCCCGGTTTAGAGAAGTAATCTCATGGGGGCATCAGATATTCTAGAAGGGGGAGAGTGTAACCCTATATAAAAATCCTATGAGTAATAGGGTTAAAACATTTATTTTATTCTATTGTTTGTTTATCATTTGTTTGTGCATTGTCCATTCATTTCTAATTCGGGGATGATGTTTTAAAAGCTTTCTATACTGGTACGTTTCTACGTACGTATGTATCATTACGTAATGTAGCGTAAAAGTTTGTTAGAAATGCACATGTGAAAAACGTGGTGTGTGATTATGTGGGCCCACTGATATTACTGTTTAATTCTGTTGATACACTGGTTGCTTAGAGTATATTTTTTGCAGAGTTAAGTTTGAGTTATTTGCTGATTTAAGGACTCTGTCACAGCTGAAACTAACCAAACATTTACTGTTTCATTTGCTAAACTGTGTGCACTGCCATAAGTGTAACAGTTGTTGGGTGATACTTGATTTCAGGTATATTGTAACTCAGTAATTCCTCTAATTTGAGCATCTGAGTATTTTGTTTAATTTTCATTAACATTTCAAAATGCTATTTCATTAAATTACTCATCTTTATTTGTTAAATTCTCTTTTTATTTGTTTGTGAGTATTATTATATTTGGGGATACATCTTATTGAAGTAGGATCCAGATACAAAAGTAGGTTAAAGAGATCTTTATTCAGACAACAAACCTAGCAAGGGAAAAAAGGGTACAGTGTAGTCAGAGAGGGGGCCTTAATCCCACATCACAAGGCATTTAGTTTCTGAACCTGGTGCTGCTCCTTACAAAATGCTACTTCAGAAAGGTAGGGGGCGCTACATAAAGTGGGGGCTCCTCCGGGATCACTCCTCTCTGATACGTCAAGCTCCCTGAAAGACCAGAAGAACAAGAACGTGTTCAAGTACTCATTAACAGTGCATTCTAAGTAACAGTGGTTAAATAAACACTCAAGATGGCTCTGGGAAAACACCCTTCTCTACAAGCAGAGTTAAGCAGCTGGTGTAAGGATGCGGGCATTCACGAGACGCATGCTGTGATGTTGTTCAATGTACCTGCAGACACAGAAGTAGCGGTTATTGAAGATGTAATGCAAGGTGTAAAAGTCCTTGGAAAAATTCATGTAAGAGACACAAGGGAAGGACCTACCTCACATACTATGCTGGTGTTGTGCGAGTGCAAACAAGTTGTTGACGCCACACGCATACCCCCTGAAGTGACTCCTGATGAAACAGGTGGGCCCTGGACAGTCGTAGTAGTCCCTGCAAAAGAAACCTTACCTGACGCTCCATCTGAAGGATTTACTGAAAAGCTTACCAAGTTCCTGATGGGAGAAGGAAAGTCATTAGCAGATATACACGCTCTCTTTACTCCACGCAGCTCAGCCGATGGGTCTCCTGAATCCATAATACGCGCAGTGGGGGAGATCTTGGAAAAGACTGCAAAGCCCTCTGGAGACAGCAGTGCGTACAGACGATTACATACCTTCTCTGCCATAATGCCAACACCCATGGGAGAAGAAAATATGGAGAACTGGATGGAACAAGCCCGTTTAATGATAACAGAGTGTGAGTGCTCCGAAAAAGAAAAACGACGCAGAGTTATTGAAAGTGTCAAAGGGCCGGCATTGGAAATAATAAGAGCTGTTCGTTTCTCCAATCCTGAGGCAAGTGCATTGCAGTATTTGGAGGCATTAGAGAGTACCTTTGGATCATCAGAGTCTGGGGTGGACTTGTACTTCAAGTTTCGTTTGATGCGTCAAACTCCGGGTGAGGCTCTATCTGAGTTCCTAAGACGGATTGATAAAGCCCTTAACAAAGTAGGGAACGTGATGGATTGTCTCCCAGACTGGTGAATAAAGTTCGTGTGGAACATCTGATCAGGGGTGCTGTGCTTTCAGATATGATGTTGCTTCAGTTAGGGTTCCGCGAATGAAGAGAACGCCCACCCTCTTTCCTGAGTCTGTTGAAGGAGATACATGAGGCTGAGGAAAATGCAGCCCGACATAGGATGACTGCAAAAGCCAAATCGATACAATCTCATGAGGATGAAAGAGTTAGCCCCTCAGTCCTTCATGAACTTAAGTCGGAGATTCAGGAGTTGAGAGTACACATATGTGGAGGTGAATTCAAAGCTGTGGCAACGTCATCCATGGTGCTTAAAGCTAAAGAAAAGCCATTCAAGCGGACTGAGAAAGCTGATGATTCGGAGTGAAGTGAAGCTAAATGGCCATTTATGTCAAGCTCTTTTAGACAGCGGCTCACAAGTGACCATAGTGTTTGAAAGCTGGTATTCCAAGAACCTGAGAGATGTGCCCATTCACTCTTTAACTGGCTTATCCATATGGGGCCTCAGTTCTTCCAGCTATCCTTACAAGGGTTACATTGTAGTGGATGTCACGTTCCCTGCCTCCGTCACTGGTGTGGAAGAGTCACTGTCCATCTTGGCGCTGGTATGCCCAGAACCCCAAGGTCCCTCACAGCTGCCTGTCATAATTGGTACCAATGCAAGTTTCTTTAAACGTCTTGCTGCCCTGAGCCGAGAGCTTGAAGGATCCAGTGTGGCACATTCCCTGAGAATCCAGACTCCTCACTCAGAAATCCACATTCCTCAAGAATCCGAGACTGAGCACCTCTCTGACAAACCTGAGGGAGAACTCAAGTGGATGGGGCCTGGACACTGCATTGTTCCATCAAGGGGAGAGATATGCACAGTGTGTAAAATGGAGACAGATATACCATTGAAGAGAGAGATCTTTGTTGTGGACGGACCTGTGCAGGATAATTTTCCAGCTGGACTGTTCATAACTCCAGTGATACTGCCACCTTCTGCTGTTGAAGATATGAACGTCAAAGTACTGGTGCACAATGAAACCTCCAGAGATATCTCCATTCCTGATGGAACAGTAATCGCCAATGTGTATCCCACAGACACACTCACTACCACTTCCGGAGGCCAGAGCTCAACCGTAATTGATCCCCAGCTGTTTGACTTTGGTGAATCATTACTTCCTGAGGTCTGGGAAAAGAGACTGAGACAGAAGCTGTCGACCAGAGAAGATGTGTTTTCAAAACATGAATGGGATGTGGGATTAGCCCAAGGTGTTGAAAATCACATTCGGCTGCAAGATACCAAACCTTTCAGAGAACGCTCCAGACGCATCGCTCCTGCGGATATCGATGACATGAGACGTCACATCAAAGAACTGCTGGCAGCAGGAATCATAAAGGAGTCAAGGAGTCCGTATGCATCGCCCATTGTAATTGCACGGAAGAAAAGTGGGGCAATAAGAATGTGCATCGACTACCGAACTCTTAATGCAAGGACTATCCCAGATCAGTACACCACGCCCAGGATTGAGGATGCTCTGGACTGTTTGGCAGGTAGTACGTGGTTTTCCGTGTTGGACCTTCGTAGTGGATATTATCAAATAGCCATGGCGACGGAAGATAAAGAGAAGACAGCATTCATCTGCCCTCTGGGTTTCTTCCAGTTCGAACGCATGCCCCAAGGCATTACTGGAGCTCCAGCCATGTTCCAGCGGCTGATGGAGAAAGCCGTGGGCGATATGCACCTCCTACAAGTTATAGTCTACCTCGATGACATCATTGTGTTCGGACGCACGCTTGAAGAACATGAGGAGAGATTGTTGAAAGTATTGGATCGTCTGCAAGAAAGTGGTCTCAAAGTGTCAATTGACAAATGCCAGTTCTGTCAGTCTAAAGTGCGTTATGTGGGTCACATTGTGTCAGCGGCTGGAGTGTCACCAGATCCTGAAAAAATTGAAGCTGTGACACGGTGGAAAATGCAGACGGATCTAAAGTCCCTGAGATCTTTCCTCGGATTCTGTGGATTTTATCGGCGATTCATAAAGGATTACTCTGCCATAGTGAGGCCTCTGACGGAACTTACCAAAGGTTACCCACCAACATCTGGATGAACTAAGAAACCCGTAGATGGCCAGCACTACTTCAAAGACTCAGATCCTTTTGGAGAGCGCTGGGATGACACCTGTACCACAGCTTTCAAACAAATCCTTCACTGCCTCACACATGCCCCTGTGCTCGCTTTTGCAGACCCCATCAAACCGTATGTCCTACACATGGACGCCAGCATGAATGGAATAGGCGCTGTCCTGAATCAAGAACATCCTGAAGGGCTCAGGCCAGTAGCCTATGCAAGCCGGAAGCTGAGTGACTCAGAGAGACGATACCCAGTTCATCAGCTGGAGTTCTTGGCGCTGAAGTGGGCTGTGGTGGACAAGTTCCACGACTACCTATACGGAGCCCAGTTCACAGTAAGGACGGACAACAATCCACTTACTTATGTGTTGTCAAGTGCTAAGCTGAATGCCACAGGTCATCGCTGGTTAGCTGCATTGGCTACTTATAACTTCAGCTTAAAGTACAAACCCGGACGCCATAACATCGATGCAGACTTCTTGTCTCGTTACCCCTGGGAACCAACCAAGTGCTCTGAATGGAAGGAAATACCCAATTCAGCGGTAAGAGCCATCTGCCAGTTAGCTGGTGTTTCTGAGAGTGAGGAGTCATCAAGACTGGCGGATCAACTAGGTCTTTCCCCTCAGAGTATTCCTGAGGCTTATACCTGTCCCACCACGCTGAGTCTAAGCCCAATGGAACAGCTGACTAGTTCAGAGTTAAAGACAGCACAAGAAGAGGATCCTATCATTGGCGAAGTAAAGCGAGATGTAGAGTCAGGAAAAATAATGACCTCCATTAAGAGTTCCAATGATTCCGTTGCTCTGCTACAGCGACAGGGTTCCAAGCTGAAGATTCAGAATCAACTTCTGTACCGAGTTACCCAGAGTCCCTCTGGAAGAGAAAAATTGCAACTCGTCCTTCCCGAAAAGTACTGGACTCAGGTACTGTGTTCCCTGCACGATGACTCAGGACATTTGGGGGTGGAGAAAACTGCCGAACTCCTGAAAGATCGCTTTTATTGGCCCAGGATGTCCAAGCATGTTGAGCAGTATGTCAAAAATTGTGGCCGTTGCATTGCACAAAAGACTTTGCCCAAGAAGGTTGCTCCACTGAACCACATGACCAGCAGCGGGCCATTCAACCTTGTTTGCATAGATTTTCTGTCACTCGAGCCTGATTCCAGAGGCGTTGGCAATGTTCTTGTGGTAACAGACCATTTCACCCGCTACGCACAAGCTTTCACATGCAAAGACGAAAAAGCTCTGACTGTGGCAAAGACCCTCTGTGACAAGTTCTTCATCCATTATGGCTTACCCTCTCGTATTCATTCAGATCAGGGGCGAGATTTCGAGAGTGGTCTCATAAAGGAACTGCTGAAGATGCTTGGAATCTGGAAATCCAGAACCTCACCGTACCATCCACAAGGGGACCCACAGCCCGAAAGATTTAACAGAACTCTCTTTCCATGCTTGGGACACTGAATTCTGTGGAGAAAAGCCGATGGAGTCAACACATCAGTCGCTTGGTACACGCATACAACTGCACTAAGAATGAATCAACTGGGTACTTGCCATACTATCTTCTTTTCGGAAGAGAGGCTTGCTTGCCAGTGGATGTGTGTTTCGGAACTTTTCCCAATGGAAAGGGAGCCAAGTACCATCGACAGTATGTGGAAAGGATGAAATCGGACTTGGAAAGAGCCTATCAGCTAGCAATGGAAACTGCCCAGAAGAGTCAGCAGAGAAACAAGCGAATGTACGGCAGAAAAGTGACACACCAGACTTTGGCTGTTGGAGACCGTGTATTGATAAGAAACCTTGTGGTGACTGGGAAGAATAAGCTTGGTGACAAGTGGAATTCAGTTCCTTACCTGGTGGTAGAAAAGATGAAAAACTTACCTGTGTATCGCCTGAAACCTTTAAGTGGAATGGGAAGTGTAAGAACTCTGCACCGAGACCATATCCTACCAATCGGGGATGATGTGAGACTGACAGCTCCTGCAGAATCAATGGATCATCTGGCACCACCGGAGACAAGAGCACGATCTGTGAAAAGAAAACAGAGAAATGGATTAGGAGGGACAAGTGTGACACAGATGGATAACAATCGTGAGAGTGACACCGAAAGTGAAGAGGAGCTGTGTTACTTTTACCCCGACCGGGTGGAAAAACAGCCACAACCAAAGTGCGTTGTCCAGTTTACGCCTTCTGTGGAAAAGGAAGCTATCTCCAGTGAAAATGACTTACCTGAACCCTCTGCCAATCATACTGCACCTCTGCTCCCTGAAGAAGCCCTGGAAGAATCAAATCCAGCAGAAGCAGGAGATCCAGAGCTAGAAGGGGGAGAAAGTCACAGAGAGAGTGCACAAAGAGATGCAGTAGAACCTGTCTCTGTACGCCCCAGAAGAGAAGTAAGGCCCGTAGTCAAATTGAGCTATGACAGCCTATGCCAGCCCACTAGCCGTCCACTAACGTTAGTTCACAGAGGGATGGTAATAAACGGAGAGGAGAGTGTAGAGCTGAGAAAAGAATTCTGCAACACAGTTTGGTGTCACCCATTGTAACGATCAGTCCACTGAAGGCGAGTTGAAGATGAACCCAAGTGCAGTTTATTCACAGAGTGATCCAAAAATCCAAACAATAATCCGAGACTTGACATGAACAGACCTGACTTAACTTGACGAGACATGAAACAGACTTGACATGAACAGACTCGACATGGCATGAACAGACTAGACTCACCGACAGCAGGTTACAACATCAATACACGACCAAAGACAATGGCAACATGAGGGCTACTTATAGCAGACAATGAGGGTCACATGACAAGAACAAACTAATGGGAAACAAGACACATACACAAGGCAGAGATACATGAGGGCAAGGGAAGCATGACACTAACAGGGTGAAAC